TCTGTAAAGTACATAATCATTGAACAGTTTGTTTATATTGTTTTTAGTGTTTCTACCTATATAGATTTTAAAATAATTGGACGCTATGAATAGCGCCGTGAACTCAAAAACAAACGATTCTCGTACGCATTCATTATTCATTGTACTGTTACAGAGGTAATTAAAAAAGAAAACATGTTTCTCCATTCAGGCGGAAAAACACTATCAATTATAATTTTATTATGGCTGATCTAAAATAATATCTATTATTTCTAAATTTAGGCAAGACCAGATTAAGGACGGCCAGAGGGCCACATCTCTAAGTTTCGCTTGCAAAGTACATATAGTACGTATTATTGTCCAGCTAAAATGTAACAACAGTTTGAGGCTAAATAGGTGTTTCGTACTTGAATTTTGGGTCATACTTATCCTTTTTATAGACTTCATGAATATAAATACTAAGTTAATTTGGAAAGTTACAATTATGCTATAGTTTTTAGAATGATAATTTTAAACTTAGTTTGAGATATGAAAATAAAAACTATAAAAAGTCAAGTACCACAATCAGCTTGGTTATTAAGTAAAGATTGAGATAAGAGATTATGATCCATATAAAATCATTTTTATACATATACACATGTGCAACGTATTGGGCCACAAATTAAAGAATTTCAATTAATGACTTTATTTATTATATTTTTACTTAACTAATAAGTATGATATCATAACAATTTTTAAAAATGATCTCATGGGATTCATAAAAAAAATGTTTGTAGAACATTTATAAAAAAAAAAAATAAACACTTATGTATGAAAAAGAATATTGATTAAAAAGAGAGCTTAAAAATATAATAAATTAAAAGGAACACATAAAAATATGCGTAGAAGCATTTCCATAAAGTCAACACTCCTAATTCAAGAGCTTATCTTTAATAGAATCGTCTTAAAATAAAATATTAATTATACTGTGCGCATATTTAATACTAATATCTAAAAGTTATATTGATATATACGTACATCAAGTCGCAGATGAATTTTAACGAACAAGATAAATTATTATTTTACAACATATGAAATGTATATTATTATATTTTAAGTATTCTACTGAGATTTTATAAAAATAACTTGTGACGTTAACTATTTGTATCGTGTAATAATATGAGTTTACTAAATGATGTAAGCGGTATGTATTATATATTAATAATAAATACGAGTTCACATTAAATTTTGAAAAATAAAATACGATGCACATATATATTATTTTAGTCTTAAAGATTTAGTTTTAATATTTCTATACAATATAATTATTATAATGTAATATTTTTATTGAAAAAATTTTAGGTTTAGACGATACTTACTTTGTAAACATTCAGATTGTATGCCAAGCTCATAAATAATATGATATGATTTTAGAGATTCACAGACTTTAGTGTACTCTTTAAAATTTTAATATGTTTTTGATCAATCAATTGTCAGCTATGTATAGTTTTTCTATTCTGAGTAGAGCGATAAATATATCGGTTTTATCACGGATGGGGTTTTTTTTTTTTTGTGGTTGAGTATACGATAAGTTATTGACAAAATACAATTGAATTTAATTGTATTTAGAAAGGTCAAACTCAAAAGTTTCCCGAATTTATTTTTATAGTCGAAAAAAATAAATAAAAATTTAGAGAAAACAAGAATTTCTACGCAAATCCTATTTTCGACAAAATCAATTTTGTTTTTTTTTTCTGTATGATTCAAAAACAAATAACCGTAGATACTTGATATTTTCATCAAATATTTGTTATATTTTTTTATAGTTATGATTAAGTTTTAAAAATATTTTGACTTTTTTTTAGTTAGAAATGTTTAATTTTTTTAGCTTTTATTTTTTTACATAAATGTTAATTAAAAATAATTTACTGATAGAAAAACTTGAAAATAAAACTTGAATTTATAATTAAAAAATATCAAAAACCAATGAAAAATATTTGATATAAGTAAATAATGTTAAAATTTCGAAAAAATTCATAAAATTCCGAAAATTAGCAAATTAATTTTTGTTTTTATATCAAAGATTTAAAAAATAAACACAATTTTTTTGTTTAGTTTTTAACCTATAAATAAAAATAAAATTGTACTGAAAATTCAAAACAATTTTTATAAATGTTTCAAATTCATATGTTTATGACCATTCAAATTTACCCGTAAAATAATATTTCTCCTCAGACAATTTTTAGAATTTTATTGTATTTTCAAAATATAACTATTTTGAATATTATTTATTTAAATTTAACAAAACTTTAGATTTATTTTAAAATATTATTTATTTATAGATAATATGATTCGATTTTTAGTGTTTTATGGTATTTACTATTTACAGTATTGAATTTTGAGTTCTATAAAGTTGAAATAATTTGGTGTGAATATATATTACTATAATAATTAATAATAATAGAATAAATAGAATATTTTAAAGAAAAAAATTATAACAACCTACTACCTATAATACTAAAAGTAAAATAAATTAGTTTGATATAGCAATACCAAGAAACATAGCTTTTGGTTGATAGACTTCTTCATTCAGAATTGTTTTTTAAATACAATGATGTATCATAAAATTCAAATTTAACACACCTATAATAGTGAACCACTTGACACTTGATGTACAGTAGAGCAGTATCCGTTTACCTATCTTTTTTTTTACTTTAAAGACAATTAATTTTAAATTAAAAAACAATATTTGTAGAGTTTTGCTTTTTACAGATGACTGATCATTAAATCGTATTTAAAACAATAATTTATAAGTATAAAAAGTAATAAGTAATACTATTTGAAAAGATAATCATACATTTTTATGGCCGTTTTGAAACGATTGTTTTTTTTTTCCGTAGACTCGCAGGAAAAAACATTTTATACGACAAAACATACATACTTAAATGACGAGGCGTTAACAATAGGCAATAAATTTAAATCAAAGTAGTTTTTTTTCGTACCTATTAAATAATATAAGGAGCGAAAAATGAAAATATTAAATTTAAGTCTGTCAAAGAAAATTTATAACGTGTGCCAATATAACAATAAAAATTATAATCGATTTTGAACATAAGCCATATTACGAAACAAAATTATTTAACAGACTTATTACTGTAATATTTAGGTATTTATACAACTCTTTATATCAATGAATAATTATTGATATTTTATAATTATTATTTTTAAGTATGTAATTAACTCGTAAGTACTCTCAATTTGACCCGATATGATATAATAATTTTATAATTGCATTAATTTCCAATGTATAATTTTCAAAAGACAATTGTATTTTTACCGTTTTTCTTTTTCATATAATATTATATCATTATGTGATGCTAATAAATATATCAAAATACCTAACTGATAAAAATGTTAATTTATAAACCTCGGGCTTGGCACATTTTGGTGCCGCAATCGGTTACTTTTATAGTAACTGTACTATTATAAAGCACTGAAAAAATTATACTTTATCGAACGAGTTTTGAAGTATTTGTTCCGAACACATAAAGAAGAGCAGTCAATATCCACTTAAGAACAAGCAGCAACGGTTTAAGGTTCAGAAACAATATTCTATATTAAATTTTACTGATAGAATATAATTCTGATTTACGAAGATATGCTAAAAATAAAATACGCTTAAGTACATAATTCGTTACGCATTTTTTTTTTTTTTTTGCACCGAGATAAGCAATTTGTTTTTAAATTGCATAAAACAGAATATACTTGCACTTAGTTATAGGCTCACGCCGCACACAGAACCACGCGTTGCTTTGCAAAAGGTTAATTATGATCGATCGACCATTTAGTGTTTATGATATAATTTCATGCTAACGTTTATTGAATACAGTGCATTTTTAAAATTCAATAGTTCAAACTGTCATTTAATTAACTCACAATATCAAAAGCTTCGTCAGTCTAATTATTTAGCAACTACCTAATAAACGTTTAATTAATTTGGAATGGTTTTATTTATTTTTATTATATAATTGCTTACTTTCATGTTGTTCTATAAAAAAACAATTGTTGTTGTGATTCGTGAGAACATTTACCTAATGTAACCTATATTCACCATTTGGTTCCACGTTGAAATAAATACATTTTATAAATTAACTGTAAAAAATATGATACATCATAATTCATAATAATAATAATAAAAATTTTTATTATTAATAATATTATAATATTCCACACTTCTCCAGGCTTATGACAGTTTTGAAATATTTGCAGCTCAAAATATGTTCAATAAAACCGATTTTGTATTTTTGTATGATTTTACTACTACCACAATAATGTTGACAAGATAATTCATTTGAGAAGTATAAACAATTGGGCAACAGAAAATACCATTAAAAAGGATACAAATTTAAATTGTATCGTGATGGATTTAGCTGCATTTTATTATTGTTATAGTAATAATTTAATAATTATAATATGTTAACATAATATAATAATATGGTGTTAAACATATTATATTACGATAATATTTTATTATAATTATGTTTATTTTTATAAATTATACATAATTATAATATCATATAATTTCGCCAATGTAAATTTGTAAAATAATAATATGTATCATATTGGTATATTTGAATTAAATAAATAATCAAATAATTTGTATTAAACATTTAGGATAAAATAAAATTAATAAAGATGATCACCTCACAATGATAAATATTTTGATTTATTATTTTTCATATTATTATAAATATTACAATATCATTAATAATGTATAATAATTAATAGTCTATGCACTGCTTATTGTCAATTAAGATTTTCCAGTTTTCACTTAAAAAAAAAAATAAAAAATTAGTACAAGTGAACAATGAAAATTCTTATTGGACATTTTTAGATTTCATTAAACTTACAAGCTAATCGTTAATAAGTTATTAACTGTAATAATAATATGACTTTTAAGACACTTTGTATTTAATTGTGCTCGTTACATTATACATTAACAGATACGTAGATACCAAAAAAAAAATTTTAAATCTTCGTAGAGTATAAATAAGTAAAACAAAATACAATGTTACTATAGGTATAATGGTTAATAGTGTATTATAATTATTTACTGTTATGAAGACGTAATAAAGAGATGTACACGGACACGGGCCAGTTTAACAATTGCGTCCACATTATCACAGTTTTGTTTGAGAATAAAATCAGTTTAACACGATATTCGTCTGTTATAAATGGCTAGGAACACGAAACGATTAATCGCGAGGAAATCGCTGAGTGTTAAGTATCTACAATTAAAAAAAAAAAACAAAAATGTGTCAACGTCGAAACGTACTAACGTAGATTTAAATATATGTTATCGTGAACCAGGTAATGTCTTAAAATACTAGAAATTAGAAAGTTTACAAAAGAAAAAAATTATTATAAAAATTATTTCCCTATACATCGCAAAATAGCCCGGTTCACGATAGATTGAACACTGTATAAGACTGATGCACGTGTGTAGAATAACAGTTTGCGTAACGAGTACGAGTCCTCAGTGACTTAAATATATTTATATTATATTATTAGTTAGTTTGGCACATAGAGGATCGCGTGGTATCCTGATTATATATATATATATATATATATATATATATATAACTTTGTTAAAAAAAAAATAATAATAATAATAATAATAATTGTAATTGTATTATAATATTAATAAACTCCTGTCGAATCAACGTTGAAACGGCCATCGATATTTAGTCTGTTTCGTAACACGTTTAACATATTGTCGTACGAGTACATATTATTATGATGTATTTATATTATAATATAGTTAGTAAAAATTAAAAAAAACAATTAATAGATGTAATAAAAATCATAATAATAATGTCGCGCGAGTCATAGTGTGCAGGGCGATATTATAAAATATGATTGTACATATATATAAAATAAATTGCATATGGGTGGTTTAGGGGTTGAGGGCAGATTAGGGGAAGTTCACTTATGTTTGGTGACATAATTTATTATATGACGTGTAGTTCACGAATTATTGCACCTGACCAGCTGGGACACACATTAAACAATGTGTCCCGTCGAAATAATAACAAAAATAATTATAAAAAAAAAATAAAATTAATAACCGTACAAAACGAAAATCGTAAAAGAACCGAAAAACGATTTTCACTATATAAGTCTGGAGGGAGACAAACGTATGAGGTACGTATTATTTAGTATTTATATGTGTATACTGTATATATATTTATGTTTAATATATATGCTAGTACGGCTGAGGGAAAATTCTTCGCTATACAAAATTATATAATAATATTATACATTATATTATATTTCTGTGGCTAGCGATCACTAGAGGGTGATTTTCGTTTATCTGTAAGTGGCGTCGTTTTCGTCCGAGTCGTGAAACCATTCGGCCGCGGACACGGTACGACCGCCGAACATCCTCCGGCTAGTAGATACGTTTGTGCTTGTAGCTGTAGCGCGAGTTCCGTCAAACTCAGTTTCGGCGGAATACGACTGATGTTGCTGCTGTCGCGGGCCACCAGTTGACCTGAACGAAGACCTGGGCGTGTGATCTGGGCTGCTTATGTCGTCGCCATCTTCGTATGACCGGATCCGGAGACCCCAGTTGTTTTCGGTGAATTCGGACGCGGACCTGGCCAGCGACGGTTGGCTAAGCGACCGGACTAGACTGCCGCCGTCATCATCAGCGTAATAAGACGAACCGCCCCGGCGGAACTGGTACTGGTGCTGGTTCTGCTGATAGTTGTAATTGTACGCCGAGCTCACGTCGCTGTAGTTGTCCGGCATTTCCGGTCGCCGGAAGTCCACCATCATTTCGCTCATCGACCTGCGAACGCAAAAATAAAAACAAATCAGACATTACACGATTTTATGATACGTATTAAAAAAACCTCGGGAGCACACACTCACACACAATCTTTATCACTGTCTCCTCCACCACTCACCGATATAATATATAGAATGTAATTTTTGAAAACTTTACTCCGCCTTTAAATAAATACGATTGCATACCACATCGCATTTGTAGTTGTATACTTAAAAATTATTTTTTTCCTATTTTAAATTTCGTCAGTTCAAACTTTTCTGATTATTATTCCATACATTATCAAAATATAGATCAATAGTATGGTGACTATTCTGAATTTTTATGAACAGTCCACAAAAAAGCATAGATATTTTTATTTCTTTAAATATTCAAAAATATAGCCAAACTAAACATTTTAATTAATAACTATGTGTTTTTAAACTACATTAATCCTCCACAAAATAAAACACATCTTCAAAAACCATAATCACTCCGTGTGGTAATGTACTAATGTATATCTAACTATGCACTTAATCTCTTACCTAACATCCATGTCAGATTTGAAGCTTGATCTGGACGTCCTCCTTGACCGGGCTGGTCCCATAGGGCCGTGGTCGTCGACCGCCGTCAACGTCCTCACGCTGGACCCGCCGTCAGAATCATATTCATAGACAGTGGGAAGCGAGTTCCTCCTGGTTCTGGCTCCTTCAAACTCGGTCTTTTTCTTGGTGTACCTGTTGGACGAACCCGCAGCCTTCTGGTCGTAATGCTGTGGTGGTGCAATCACTCGTATGATAACGTCCCACTTTTCTGGTTCGAATATCCTTTCGTATTTAGGATCGCTGCGAATGCGCTCGAAATCTTCTCGAACGGTTGCCTCAGTGATGAGTTGCCGGAGAGTCGACTCGGTAGTGATGATCTGCCGCCACTTACGTTTGTCATCCAGCGTCAGTGTCTGCTCAACCCTATACCTGGCGTTGGGTTCCATTTCAGGTTCCGGTTCCAAGACTCGGATCAACGATTCCCAGTTGTCCGGCTTGGGCACTGGCACGTCCATGGTGCTCAGGTACCTAATGTGATTTTCTTCGGAATTGACGTTCGACATCACGTTGCTGTTGTATGATTGAATCCTCGACTGGCGGTCAATACCAACCGGCGGATAACCGCTTACTGATGATGCCTCGGAGTAACTATCCCAGTCTGTGGCAGTGTCTTCGCCAGATTGAGGATATAACGCATCCGGGTTCGGGTAATTCTTGATAGTCACATCCCAGCTGGCCGGCGGCGGCACCGGTCGCGGCTTATACTCTACCACTTCTCGACGATGCCGTTCGATGTCTTCGATCGTTTTCTTTTCGGTGATTGTCTTTAGGAACACATCGTCAACCGTGTGAGACGTGATTTCTGGTCGTTTGGTCGGTACCACGGGTGGTTCGACGACGTCCACTTGCATCTCAGTTGTATACTTGGACGTGGTAGCATACCGATGATTGTCGGTCGTTGTAAGCAGTTGCGCCGTTGGTGGAGGTGGTGGAGGTGATCTTCTTATATCTGAGTTAGCAACCGACACGTTCTCCTCCGTCCTGTACCATTCAGTTTCATCCTTATCCTTGCGAACAACCGTCGAGTACACCGGACGATACCGTTCCTCGGCCGCGGCTGTTGAAGTGGTCATTGACATAGTCTCGTCCTTTTCTAAAATGGTGGTCAAGTTTCGCTCCAAGGCTGCCACGCTTGCCTCAGACTCGGACGGTGGTGGCGTAGGACTTGGCGTGGGCGGTGGAGCCCGCTTCACACGGAGCTGAACGTCAAACTTCGGTTGGACTGGCGGTGGTGGTGGTGTGATAGTCGGTGCTGGCAAGTGTTGGTACCGTTCTGCATAGTACTCTTGCTGGAACGCCCGATTTTCGTAGGATCCGCCGGAACTTGGTGACTGTCTCAAACTGCGGCCGTCCACATCTTCTGCTTCCGAGTGCCCGGAACTGGGCGATTCGGACGGGTAGTCACTAGGCAGCGTATCACCGGCGCTTACCAAAGCCATTTCCGAACCCGAAGAGCTGTCTAGTGTCGGAGCTCGAGCCCGTGGTATCTTCAGTCCATCGAACATGGACAGGCTTGAGTCGGACAGTTTATCCGAGCCGACGGACGATAACGGGTGCCGGCGGACTACTTGCACCTGCTGGTTGCGTAGGCAGTAGTACGAACAACCAAGGCCTAACAAGACCAGTGACAAAAATAATATACCGCACACAATCAACAAAATCTGGAAGCCTTTCAGAGGTGGTTCTAGTGGCGTTGACGGTAAATCAATGCTGTGAAAGAAAAAAAAATCAAGTTAGATACTTTTGTCTTTGTAAGTATACACACTGTTTAAATAAACCTTTACCACATTGAAGAAGGTATTATTGATCGTTAAATACATTTATCATTTAAAACCTTGAAGACATACCGAATTTAAACACATTTCTTTATGTATTTTATATCATTCAAATATATACATTTAACATATACATTTCACCCAACCTTTAATTATGTAGCTACGTTTTTACATAAATCCTTGGACCAAAAACAAAAACGAATTCTCTTTATAATTATTATCAGTGAGTATAAGTATTTAACTCGATTATTTTGTTACTTTGAGATAATACATTCGGTGCATAAATTATTATTGTACTGGCACTAAATTAGTTATCGTTACATTTCAATATATTTTTAATTTTTAAAGATCAATGATTTAATTATAAATAATGCCGAGTCAGTCATATTAACTACCTGCATTATTCACGCGATATTATTATACAACCTTGATAAATGTATAACTTTAATATTATATAGTCGTTGTCTACTTTCAATGACAGTACTATAATATTAAATTTATATAATGCGGTGAACTTGTTTCGATATTTACGATTTAAAAAAAAAATTATGAATAATATTTTTTTAAATGGGTACTGGATTTTTTACACAAAAAACACGTTCGACACATATTTTATGCACTTACATTTTATTAGGTATACCAGCTGGTGGTGGAGCGATAGGCGGTGGGTATCTGCACACAATCGTTACCACTTCGTCACCGTCCATTTCTAGGAAGGGGTGGAACCTGACTACGATATTGTTGGTAAAAACTCTTTGTGGATCCTTAATGAATAAAAAACAAAATAAAACATTTATTTAATTTATTTAATCATAGATAGAACAAAAAATTAATAATCGTTTTTTATCCCACGTACTTGTCTTGTACCACATCCTTTTAGCGGCAAGTCGATTCTGGCTGTGTTGTTACCTTTTCCCGTCACAGTGCACGCACTACTCCGGTCGAAGTCTGCATAAGCTCTACCGTAAAATGGTTCTTCAAATTTGAGTTCGATCTGAAAACAAAACACGGTCCAATGAAAACCCACGACCAAATCAAAACAATAATTATATTATCATTATTTATTTGTATTTTATTTATTAATGTAATACTGTAGATGATGTGTACGGCTAACCTGCATAAATCCGGCTGCACAATTTAGCGCCGCTTTGGTCCTGTTCAAAAATATAACTGGGGCTAATTCGTCCAGCTTGGTGACTTTGCCGTCCAACACCGTAGATTCGGGCAGGCCCCGATCTGGACTTGGGAATTCGATGCTATTTTCGACTTGATCATAGTTCGATTGGGCTACAGCTATCGTCGTCAAGGCCGATGACAGTATCAACAACCGCAGTGGCAATGACATACCGCCGTTTCTAGTCATTTTCCGTTCTGGAAAAATACATAAAAACCAAAAATCAATAACGAGTTGAGTTTTTTTCCATAATTAATTTGTGATTAATATTAATTTGGATATTATATTTATAAATAAATACAAATCTTCAATTCACAAGATGACATTGAGTATTATATTATTTATACGCCTAGCGCATTAGGATTATTTTATTCGCGCGAACGCGCCTGCCTGTTATTCGTCGTACCGCAGTGATAAGCACGGTAAGCGGCACAAGTCGAAAGTGAAACGTCTATCTTGTCAAGGGCGGATTATTTTATAATATACCACATGCATGTATATGGTTTTTACCATTCACTAGAGCATATACCGCCACGATATTGCACAATGCTGCGTACACCCGCCAACCACGACCCACCCGTCCACCTAACGCAGTTAAGAATACGTGTTTGTATGTACACACGATTTCATGCAAACTGTTCCGCCCGTGTATATCCTTGCACTCAAAAATACATACATACACAAACGCGTACTCGCGACGACTTACACACAATCGTCGACAGTTAAATGATTTCGCAGGAAACAGTATATATAGGTCTGTTACAGAAGCGCCACCAACCCCCCCCCTTCGAGAAGGACGTCACGGTCACAAATATGAATCCGAAAATATGTTGAACGTTGAACTGTATAATTATATTTTATCATAGTGGGTGTAATATGCTACTGTAGTAGCTCTCCGTGAATTATAGTATTATGACTACTTTTGCACGTTTTTTTTTTTTTTTTTTTAACTAATTAGATTTATTACCAAAATTAAGCTGTAAATTAGCTTAATTTCATGACTTTACAAAACAAATTTCAAAAAGGTTTTTAAAGCCATTTTTTACATACTTAAATGTTTTTATTTCAAGGACATGTTTCTAAATTTTACAACTTTTTTATCTAACGATTAGACTTAAATAGTCTTTTAAGTGCATATTTTTAATTTTTACACGGGTACATAACTTGCACGTACTTAAAAAATTTAATTTGAAACTTTTGATCTTATTGTTACAAATATTTTCAAATCATTGAGTACCTAACCAATAACCGTAGATATATTAGTATTTTTATTATTAACATACCTAATGTACACAAATGCATACAGTGCACTGCAGTCGTTATATTAATAATGCAGTGGCGTTAACCCATCAAAATGGAATATTCTTAAGTTATAGTTTTATTTAAAATAGGAGTGTAGATACGAGTGTCATTATCACGTAAATTATTGTTCATGTACACGCTATGTAGTTAATGCGATTTTGCTAGAATGTTTTTAAAACATAGAATTACACAAAATTATAGTATTTTAAGAGTTTTCGAGCGATTAACTGTAAAAAACGTATAATATGTATTTACGACATAAGACAATGGATAACGATTATACGATGAGCATTATTCACATAGCGATATCGATTTCCTAGTATGACATTTAAACACCAAAGTTCTTACACCTCAGCCACGCACCTCTAACGACAGTATTGTACCGGCGTGGTTATATATTTATATTGTTCGTGAAAATAATGGGAAAAAAATCGTACGATTTTTTTTTTCCTATCATCATCGTTATGCTCGTGAAAATCTACCGGGATTACTGATTCAATAATACATCAGACTACGCATTTTCTCATAGCATGTATATGTGTCTAGTCACTGAAAAATAATTATAATCTCGTTTGAGGGCGGGCCTTATAATATTATTATATTTGCGGGTATTTCGTGGGGTGGTGAGGTAGGAGAAGTAACACCTTAAGGACGGTTAAGGCCAGAGGTGAAAACAATAATATGAAACGGGCTGTAATGTAAAAAATAAATTACATTAATTTTACAATTATCAATGTATACCGAATACATTGATGGTTTAATAATTTATCTCCTCGGCTGCACTGCAAACTCGAGATTGACTGCGGCGAAATAAAGTGCATGATTATGATCTGCTTACTTAAAAAAACAGGTTTTGAAAACAAAAAAATGTCGTCAAAAACCGCATATTAACAATAACAATAATTCGTAAAATGATATCGGCCAGCGATAGATGTGACGAGAGCGCCACGTACAAGGATCTCTGCTCCTCACCCGGCCTTAGAGACCGCACAATTCAACTATCCGCAGCCCAATAACACACGCGACGACGCGCGTCGTACACAATGAGTCGGGCACATCGTTCACGACTAATTCGTGTTGGATACGCACGTACGATTCATAATGGTTATGATAATTGTCGGAAAGAAATTGCGCGCGCGTGTGTGTGTGTTTTTTACGACGTTCTATTCTTCTGCACACATATATTATTACATTATGGCTATAAATTGTTATTGTCATTGCCACGGTCTCGCCGGCCTGCCTAGTTTAGTATTAAATTTCGATTCTACCGCGCTAATGCTTCTGTTGCAGTTAAACGGTCGTCCGTGTAACTTTACTATACAGCATTATTACGATGGCAATAATATTATATTGTTATCATTTCTGTTTGACGTGTAGTTTAGCACTGCGATCGCTGAACAAACGTCTCTTGTGCATAATATATATATACATACTATATAGGTTTATGTAAAATACCAATCACGTAATATGATAATAATTTAATACGTAATAATTATATAGTAATTCCGTGGTCCTAGCGAATTCTAACCCTCTAAACCCCAACAATTATTAATTGGCAGTTAGTATGTATGTAATGACTTATTATGAATTATACTATCTTCTATAACGTCATCAAAGCATAACTATTATGGCATAAGAATTTCAAATCGAACCGTCTACCAGAACCCTTCACAATGACTCATCATCTTAAAAACGACGACGAATCCGGACGTGGAAATCATTGTATTTTCGTGCAGACTTCTGTTACCGATTGACATGATTTTTAACTGCAACATTTTAAAAACCAAAAAAATACTAATAGACCTCTGCCTGACCCAACCTGCTCTGTTGAGGTGTTATAGCGGGAGTGAATTTCGCTCGCGTCTGTGACATATATGTATAATAATAAATAATTATTACGAAAAGAAAATAAAGCTGGGCGAGTGTAGGAAATAATGAACTCACATCGAATTCGGTTGTGTGATGTGACCTTCTCGTATCGCTATTACACAACTGAATAACAAGCGCTGACAGCGTGTTAAACATTCAATTTACACGCTATCCTGTCCTACAACGAGTATATACCTACTTGATTTGTGGCCATCGACATTCGTTGTTTCGTCAGCTGTTTAAATTACATTAATCGAGTATATAATTTGTAGAATCGTATACGCGCTTTACATAAACGTTTAATTGCAACCAATACCTATATAATAGTAACATTATATAAAAACAATAATCGTTCAATAAAAGTTTAAAAGTGTTCATATACCTAACGATAATAATAATGGAACGCTGTTATAATGTACAAACAAAAACGAAATGGTACAGCGATATCGATGCTGTAACTATTTGAATATCTTGCACTGTCTTATCTAATAAATCTGCATAACATAATATATATATATAAATTCCAGCTATAAGAATAATAATAATATGGGTAAATAGTTATCATAAATCGAAGCGTGACCTGCAGCCCATAAAATGGAACTCTCTAATTCAATTTTACCACACTTACGCAATAATTGTCCGCGGCTGGTTTTGTCCGGTTTCGGTTTCGTCCAAACCTTTAGATCGTTGTTACTTATTATTTCCAATATTTGACCGTAAATTAATTCTGTTGGTCAGTCAATCGAGTCGAGTCACTCCCCGAGCGTGGGGTAATGAGGCATATATTTTTTGTCACTAGATAGTCGCATATTCTGATTCTTAAATAAAACTATTTTCTCACCCGATAACAATCGCTATTTAAAACTAAACGCTAAAATCCTATCCATTCTCTATGGTTATAACCTCATATTATTATTATGGTACTGGTATATTACAGCAATCATTTATCGAATAAAATCGCCATATTTTTCATCAACTCTTACCCCCGATTGAAATTTGGTTAGTAAAAATAAAAATTACAACTACATGTTTGTTCAGTATATTCACGGTATGAATATCATGACAAAATAAATGTCGTCTATTGCGATCTATTTAATATTACTATATAATCATATATTCATGTATTAAATTGATACTCAGTTTTTTTTTTCTCACTTAAAGATTAAAATAGACGAATGCAATAGAAAAAACCACATATTAGCCGCGTTCCATTTGATATTTTACACACGTACTCGGATAAATTTCTATAGGAACCGACCAGGAGGTCGACCGTTGCACCGTGGTCCATAATAGAACTTGATCGCATAAAACGCCTATTATGTTCGGACGCGACGATTTTATAATACGTTTAAACATGTACCTACACAATAATTATATGAATAAGATTAAAAATCTGTCAAAATTTTGAATATTATACAACATAATAACCATATTATATGCAATTGTATACACAAAACGTATGCAGATGACGTGACCCTGAAAACGTCCTTGTGGATCCGTAACGTTGTATTATTACGGTAAACTCCGTGTTTATAATATAGCCTATGATATGCATATCATACGCTATAGATTATGTATATGCAAAACATTAAACGATCGATCGATGGCTTTGAAAATTATTTCCGAAATATACAATATTATATTTTTGTACATACATGAATAATGAGATATTTTTATTTGTTAGTTAATATTTAATAACAATATAAACAATGCAATCGACGTTAGTTTTATAAAATTGACTTGATCGTGGATAATATATTGTATTATATGGTAATTTAAAATTAATTCTATGAATCGATACATTAAACGAAGGCGATTTTGAAAAAATATTGATCTCGGGAATCTAACGAAATTCCGGAAAAAATGAGCTTACAGTGGGTTCCGATATAAAATCACTTTTCAGAAACAATAATAGTCCTCGTTTTATGACTGAAGTTACCAGATTTCAAGTCACAAACACAAACTCGCGTTTCCTCTGATTAAAATTTATAATAATGCTACATCACATGTGTACTATACGTATAAT